CCGCCGCACCGGGGAAGGTGGAAGTGATTTTTTAAGGGCTTCTCCGCCTAGCTGTGGGGGCTAAAGGAGAGACACTTTTGTAGTGCAATACTTGGAGGGTGCCTCCAAGGAGTGAACGTAGGTCAAGGTTTGACCGAACCACTATAAATCCGGTGTGTTCTTTTCTTAATATTGCTTCCGCGTTATTTAATTTCCGCACTTTGATTTCTGTGGTGATTTTGGTTTGAGTTTTATCTTTAATTTTAAAGTTATCCAATTCACCTCTTTTTTTTGTTAGCCTTGGGCCAGTTCATGAGGGCTTAACATCCCTAACGAACTTTCAAGTGATTTCAGAGCACTTTCTAGTGTCATCTGAGCACTTTCAGGTAGTGAGGCCTGCAATGCTTTATGGTGCTGAATGTTGACCATTAAAAGAGAAGCATTATATTAAGTTAAGTGTGGCATAGATGAGGATGCTCAGGTGGATGAGTGGCTTTACCCTTAGAGAAAGGATACGAAATGAGCATATACGTGAAAATGTTGGAGTAGCTCCATTAGAAGATAAGATTAGAGAGAGTCGCCTTAGATGGTTTGGTCACATAAAATGGCGGCCTTCCAATGACCTGGTTAGGAGAGTAGAGGTATTAGATTTGACTTATGTTAAGAAAGGTTGAGGCATACCTAAAAAAACCTGGTTAGAAAATATTAGGAATGACCTTTCTTTATTAGATTTTATTATATTTAAACGATAATTTGACCTTTAATAGGACACAATGGAGAATAAAGATTCATGTAGCCGACCCCACGTAGTGGGGAAAAGGCTTGATGTTGTTGTTGTTGTTGTATAGGCTTTCATAGGATAGCCTGATAGATCTTTAGTAATTGGAGATGCAAAGATGATTTTCGATTCTAAAAGCAGTAAGTAGGTCAAGGTCAAAACAAGATTGGAAGATAAAATGGGTGTAAAAGAGATCTTACATTGAGGTTTTGAACCATCAATCACCAACTTAAGATTGGTTGATTGCTGGAGAAACATCTAAAGTTATATCCTTTGTAAGGAACTTTTTCGTCACATAAATTTGAAGTTTTGGTAGAGGATTAGTTTCAATTGGTGGTACTACTCCTACGTCTTTGAGTAATATCCTTTATAAGAAACTTTTTCCTAACATAAACCTGAACCTTTAGTTGATGTTTAGTGTTCATTGGTGATAATTCTTCCCCTATATTTCATAAAGCATTATATATCGAAGGAAAATTACTAGTACTACCACTAGTCCTCATATCTCTATGACTCTCTGTGTGTCCAAAGATTGTTTATCGTAGTTGAGTAAAAGTATGGGCAAAATGCAAGTGGAAGAAAAAAGGACATTGAACCGTTAAAATTTTTAGGTATCTTACTAACTGAAAGAAGATTGTAGGGAATTTTTGATACGTGTAAAACCGATTTAAGGTAATTTTTTCTGAAATTTTAATATGCTCTTTGCCAGTAATCAATGAAAAACTTCCTTTTGCAATTCTCATTTTTTCTTAACCAAGAGAAGGTTCATAGGAATTAAAATAACTTGGAAGAGCTAGTCATATGATCAGATGCCCCTAAATTTATAATCTATGGACTGGTTTCCTCAAGAGTAGAAAGTGCCGAAGGAATGTTACATGTTTGTGCCATAGAATTGGAAAAAATATTCTGTGCGGTGTCCGGATGCGTCCGGAGGTCAATCCGGGCGTGTCACATCACCCAATGCATAGTTATTGGGTGATGTAGCGCGCCCGGATTAGCCTCCGGACGCGTCCGAACACCGCACAGAATAATCTCTCAATTGGTAGGAGCATTTGGTGAAGAACTGGATTTTAACAGTTTGAAAAGATGTTCTAATTGTTATTTATTGAAATGAGATGATTCAGCCTTATGTGTTTGAGAGTGTGATCTGTCTATCAGGTTCATTTTGTTTGCTATTGATCTGTTTTCCATGTAACTTGTAGCATGTATCTTGTGTATGGTGAGGTTTCCGACAATAATTGCAGTGCAAATTGCTCGTTATCTCTTGTACATGGATTTTGAAAGGTACTTGTGCTTTTGGAATTATTAAGGCATTCTATGGGTACGATAGTGTATGTGTTTTTCTTTCCTAGCATCACTTGTTTGTGGCTTCCTCTCTTTGCGCCGGGGTGGAACTAGGCTTAATTTTTAGGGGGACAAACTTATAAGTAAAAATATAGAGATTTTTTTTCCATATTTAGTTAATAAATATATAGGCTGCCCACATCTTAGAAATTTTCTGGTGTTAATGACGATGAAATTGAAGCTTAATTTTGATAGAATAGCTTAATTAAAATTTATGAAAATTTATCATTTTCCATATGCTGTAAAGACTATTTTTTTAAAGCAATAATAGGTGATGACATGCAAGCTCTTCAAATTAATCTTTATGAATTTTGATTAATTTTCTTAAAATTTATTGATCTAATCTAATGATCTTGAAAATATTTAATAAATTTGTAATGATTTTTAAGCATATATTTATTATCATCAAAGTCAAGTTGATATATAAAATGACTACATGGGGTTTTTTAGGTGGCTAAGATTACAATGATAGCTGTTGCAGTTTGGATTTTTTTTACTATTTTTTAAAGTAGTAGTTTTTTAGTATAAAAAGCAAAAAAAAATTTACTAAGAAATTATTTTAGAAAATATTAAGGAAGCAAATCCAAACAAAGCCTAAGCCTAAATTTGGTGAATCTTGGGTGATACTATTTGGGTTGATTGAAGCATTTTATAAAGTTATTTGTGAAATTGCTGTAAAAAAAAAAAAAATTTCACTACTATCTGTGGAGAGATTATTATGGTTGTTGTCTGAAAAAGCAAAGTAGTTATAAAGTTGTCCAAAACAGAACCTTAGCCCGGTAACAAATTTAAGATGAAAAGTTTTTCTCCGTTGATAAATCTTAAAGCTTTAAACTAGCATTGTAATCACAAAAATATAAGTGGTCTTTAACCGAGAGTTTTCTTAAGGGGATAAATCCTCGATCTCTTTAAGATATAAATTAACTATAAGATCTTGCATTTGTGGAGAATCTAAAACTCATAAGAAAAATAAATATAAACTGGTTTCTCTAGGTAGCAAAATTCTTTGGACAATAATCAAATTTCATTTATATAAAGACAATAGCTATCAGTACCCAAACCCATTTCGGTCTATATAATGCTCCTTTTGGATTACATACATTACTATTTGAAGGTCTCCTAAAAGAACAAATATGGGTAATATGTCATTGTATATTATCATAAGTGCATAATATATTCAAAGTGAATACTTAAATAATCTTTGGAGTCTACTATTCGTTCTAGAGAGAGCTAGAATGCATATGTGAGTTATGATAAGAATGATAAATATGTGTAAAACAACTAGAAAACTCCCTTTATATAAAACTAGCATGCAATATAAGGCTTCGTTTGTGGTGAGATTATTATGTGTTTGTGGAGAGATTATTATGTGTGGAGCCTAGAAATAGAGAACCGTTCAGTTTTGTGACTGTGAACAATAAAAGCGCAATTATTATTCATTACTGCACTTTTACTATTCACAGTAAAAAAAATCAAATGATTCTTTGTGTCCAGACTCTGCATGTAATAATCTCTCTCGTTTGTGACATCTTTCTTAATCACGGTTTTTTAGTACAAAAAATTCTAGTTCAAAAATTTTTGTAACAAAAAGTTGTTTTAGAAAATAGTAAAAAAATTGTCTCAAATAAAACGTAATAAGAAAGTTGTTCCAAACAAAACCTTAGAAGCATGTTGATGGATGAAGGAGTGTGCTCTTCTTAAATCTTTTTTCTCCCTCTCATCATCATCAAACATTAGAGTGAGAGCCTTTTGATCCTTTTGTTTTCTTTTTTGCTTCCTTTTCTTCGCTATATCTATGAAAATATATTTGAACCATCCTTTTGTATAACTTTGACTTTTCCCCTCAAGATTTATTTCTTTTTCACAGCCTTTAACACGTGTCTTATATTAATCACTGAATAAATTAGTGAGTCCACTCTTAATAAATTTACAAGTTCTTAGATTTGAAATAAGTTTGAAATCATCCAATAGCAAAGCATAATGACAATAAATAATGACTAAATTTTTTTATTGACTTAAACTTCGTTGAGATAACTTTCTTACTATTTTCTAGAATAGTTTTTTAACACAAAAATTTATGATTCTAAAAACTTATGTACTGAAAAATTGTTTTAAAAAGTAGTAAAAAACTTATCTCAAACAAGCCTTGTTATATTTTCATTGCAAGAGGATAATTGTTCATTTAAAATAATAACCAACAATTCTAATTAGTGCTTTACTAAATAATGTAGTATGAATTTTTTGGATGTCAAATTTTGAATCATCAAGCATTAGAGTACGTTAAATGTTTTTTCAAAAGGCTAAGGCTTCATTTGGGACGGCTTTCTTACTACTTTTTAGATCAGCTTTAAAGTTTTTGTACTAAAAAGATGTTTTGAGAAGCAGTAAGAAAGTCGTCCTAAACAAAGTCTAAATTGAATGTTATGATACACCCAAAGAAAAGAGGAGAGAAATTGGAGTAAATTTAAAATTTATTTTGAAAAATTTAAGGAATTAAAAAAAAATTATTTATGTACCATTTTTACTTAAATTTAGTCATTTTAGGAAAAAAATTCACTTATTTAGGAGAGAAATTTTTTTGTTCTCATTTCTTACTTTCTTTTAAAGTTCTTTGGTTCATCACAAAATACAACAATGAAGTACTTTGTTTGTTTGCTTAATGATTGAATTAAAAATAATGATTCTTTTGTTGTTTATGAATTATTGCACTTTATATTTTAACATAAATAGGGCTATTCTAAAAATAAACCAAATAATTTATAAAGTACTTTACTATTTGAAAATTCAAATATAAGGCAATATATTTATATAGAAAATCCATATATAATTATCTAAAGATACAAATGAGGCAAAACTTATTTTAAAAGTAGCACAACTGTTTCTAATAATAAGAAAATGGGCTCTGTGTATTGGTGCCGGCAGTGGACCCGCGCCCTAGTTAAATGGTGGCGGGCCGGAGGAGCACGCAGAGCGCGGAGGTCACTTTAGAGTAAAGAGCAGGCAGGAGTCACAGCGGAGAGACCGGAAAGGAAGTGGCGCCGCCGGGAGGGAGGAGGTCGCCGGTTTTAGGCTGGCCTTCGGAGAGTTTGAGGTAAGATTGAGCTAAAGTGTATGGTGCCCTACCTCTTTCCCCCTATCTCCTCCATTTTCTTTTTCCTTGGTCCCCTCCAGCCACGGTTGGAGGCTGCCGGTGCCTGTGAGAGGGCTCGCCGGAGTGAGGCCGCTTTCCTACTAGCATTACCCTTACGCACCAAGCTTCCGGCTGGGAAAGCCTATCTGATAAAGTTTATTTCGGTCTTTAGCCTGACTAAATCTGCAAGTTTGATTATGGAAACCTATATTAGATAGTTGAAATGCTTGTTAAGATTAAATCGTTTGGTTCTTTATATGAATTAATTTAAGGTGGAAAATCCCTAAATTTTCTTAGTAAGAATACATTTCCGGGGTAAGGCTATGTACATCTACCGTTTTCCATATTTTGCATTGTTGGAAGCTTCATGGATTAGGTTATGTGCGTGCTTAAACCATCGTCTTCTTTTTCCAAAGATTTGAGCCTCTGTTGAAACACTAATTTTAGTTTTTAATTTTGTAGATTATATATTAATTGGGTAAGGAATAGGGAGGTTTACAAACATGCCAGGAAATTCTTACGTATTTGCATATTAACACCTAAAGTTTTACATTTATTTATATAACACATTAATCTCCAAATGGCATAAATATCACAAACATTAACTTATTTATAGTTGAATATATCTTTTCATATATATATATGATGTTGTTTAGACACTATGATTTTATATAAGTAAATACAAAAATTTAGGTGTTAGATATATAAATACATATGAATTCTGTGGTACATTTATCAATCATCCTCTAAGGAATAATTGATCAATGATATGAATGCTTAATGCTATTATTTTAATTTTAATTCCGGCTTATATTATATGGACGTATGGATGATTAGGTGAAGGGTAAAAAGATTTTTGCAAAAGGGGAAGTTTTTCCTTAAATTTAGAATGCTAGCTAATTCTCTAGCTTAGTTTTTAAATGTGTTCTTGAGGATTTGCTCTCTTGCTTGCATATTTTTGCATAAATATCTTAGCTAACAGAACATTTTAATTTCTAGTAATTATAACCAAGTTAAGAGATATGAGATTGATGGGTCTCAGTAGTTTTATTTCCTATAAACTTTGTTTGATATAGATGCTATGAATTTTGGTTTTGTGGCGCTTTGCTTTGAGCTCGTCTTTGAGAGCATTAATATTGGAACATCGAATGACCATCGACTTTTGAGGCATACTTAACTATTAAGTCAGCTTCTTTGTATGTGTACTCTTGTTGGTACACGTGTTATGTAGCTTTGAATTTACTATTACATGGTTATAGTTGCATTTACCACTACATGTATATCGACCCATTTCTAGTAGTGCTTCCTTATGCTTTTGCAAAGTTGCACATATTGTTTATCTATCATATGATAAACAACTTGAAAATTTTTTGAATTGAATTGAAGTATCTTCATATAGGTTAAAAGTATTTTTTGAATGTCACAGATATTTTTTCAAATGGGTGGCTAGAAGCTTTGCTAGAAAAATTAAAAGCGAAGGAGTTCTATTGTGTAAACTTGGAATTTTGGAATCTCAAATTTAAGTATAAATGTCGAATTGGCACACACATATCTAGAAAAATATGGAATATTTTAAAGGATATTAAATTTCTTAGGTCCATTATCATATTTTTCTCCATCATTTGACTTATCCAACTATTTCAAGTTGGATTTACATCATCATCAAAATATAGAAGTTCTTGGGTTGTTTCTCTTAATTGCATGATGTTTTAATGTTTAAGGTTGATATAAACAACATTAAGGGCTTGGCTTTTCTTGTAAAAATTTTAGTCTTTTTCTTATTTATTTGCTGATATGAAGAAAAACTTAAATCCTTATATCAATATGGAGTGAACATGTACGTCTCATAGTGATCTAAAATATTTGGACGACTCGATAAAGTTTAAGAGCAATGAACACTTTATCATTATTGTTATTAGAAATTCTTTGAGTTCATTTGCTGAAGATATAGTGAAGGCAATTTACTGCTTGACTTCCTCTTCAATTCTAGGTTATTTGGGCTCTAGCTAGTAGCTAGGGATTTGGGAGAGCTGAATCTTCCTCTTCAATTGAAGATCCAATTGTATATTGCATTTCTCTTTATAGGTTTTTCAATAAAAATTATATTGGGGCATTCTTCCCAATTTTTCATGTTTCATCAGTTGATTTTTATAAAAAGTGCATCAACTTCCTATCAAATTGGTATCAGAGCCTAGATCCAGGTACCTATGGCGGGAAGAAAGATAAAAGTATTGAAAAGGGAGATTAGACAATTGAAATCTGATTTTGTAGAAAAGATTTCAGGTTTTGAAAAACAATTTCAGTCATTCATGAGAAGATTGATGAAAAATTTGTCATCATGAAGGTGATGATAAAGAAGTTGCTTGAGGGATAAACCAAACCGACAACATTGGAGGTGAAAGCATCGTTGACTGGACAAGAAAATGAGAGAAACCCTAATATAGGGATAATGTGTGAGAACCAGACCTGACCGGTTCAACTGAACCGATTTATTCATTCAACGGGCGAGCAGTTACGCGAATTGCAGACTGGGACGGATGAATCGTGACTGACGTGTGTAACCCTCCCAGACGGAGTCGAATCGAGCCGTTGAGCGAAGGATCGTGTACGAGGGAGAAAATTAACAACTCATCGTGAGATATATGTTCGTTTCACTCGCTCCTTTGGAATCAAATGAACGAAAAGTGAACAAAGGCCGAACGAGATAGATAAGGAGAAGAATGTAGGTTTTCACATTTTATGCATCTTTTATGCATTTATTTTGTGATTTAATCTTATGAAAGGATTAATTATCTTAAAGGATTGCATAAAAAAGAATTGAGAAAGAAAAAGAAAGAAATATGGGAGAGAAAAAAGAAGGATTTTGGGTTGGAAAAATCCTCCTTTGTGATTTTAATCATATATCTTTTGTTTAATTTTAAAGAATAGAATTTATAAAATTTATTTTAATGACTAATAGTGTATGATTTTAGAAAGGAAGATAATCTGACTGTGAAAGAGGAAATATTTGGATTTTTTTAAAATTCCTTCACAAATAAGTGCAAGTAAATTCCCTTATTTTTTTATTTTCTGTTCAAACCAAGAGAAAGAAAATTTTATAATTCTCTTAAGTGAAGAGACAATATTGTTGTAGGAAGAATTGAATTACAACAAGTTTAAATCCGACAGTTGAAGGTGTTTTTAAAGAAGGAAGGGAAATCTTGATGATGTAGTTATTTCAAATTGTATTCGAAATTATCTTTAAAGATGTTAGTCAAATCAATTTAATGATTTGTTTTTGAATTGTTGTGGGATTATAAATTCAAGTGCTAAATGATGAAATTAATGTCAATAGTGGAAGATTTCATAATTGGGAGAGAGGAGCGTTGGAAGTACTGAGAATTGAAGATTTAAAAAGGAATTGAACAACCGCAAAATAAATAAAATGGTTAATTACAATTGTGTATAACAATTTTATTGTTGAATTTCTATTTAAATTCTAAAGTAATGTTTAAATAATTATTTTATTTATATTTTGAAGTTATTATGTATAAGACGATTCAAATGCAATATGTGATGATGAACTTTTGACATTAAATGAATATGGTAGAAGAAATGTATATTAAATACATGATAGTATGGATATAAATGCATTTGTAAAAGAAAATGAATTTGAAAGTAAATATGGTTAACTTTGGAAAAAAAGAAAAAGATATATGCATGCAAATTGCAGTAGTTCACCCTCATATGGTATTGGATGGGAAAGCAACGTACCCATGCACGTTAAACGGAAATGAAAATGAAAATAGAAATAATTGTACATTTATTGGTACATTTAGATGACGCTCCTAACTAAACGAAAAAAGGAAAATGAATATGCTAATTGATAAATATATTTAAATAATATGATAAATATAAATAAAGAATGTATGTCACAAGAAAGAGAAATGATTTATGTAAATTTATATATAAATGTAAAAGAAAGTCACTTGAATACGTTTATTTTATGTATATAAAAATATTGTTACTTTTTCAAGTGTGATTATCAACTGAGTTTATCATGTAAGCTCAATCCATTAAATTAATATTTTAAGGTAAGTCTCTAAAGACAGAAATGACTGAGAGGAGTACGTCTATAGAGGACGACGCACAAATGAAAACATGTAATATATGATCAATATAATTACTTAGATTGAAAAATGGTATAAGTTGTTTTATGAAATTTTTTTTGATAGCGGCTCTTCAGTTTTATTGAGAAGTTAATTGTTAAATTACTTATGAAATTGAAGGAAATGTTACATTCGTCCAACTTTTTGTTCTTCCCTCATTAATTTGAGTATCCGGGCTAGGCGTGACATAATGAGGGAGAATTAGGAGGTGAAAATTTTGGGAAAAGAAGAGGAGATGCCACTTTTGGAACCACTTCCAAGGATGGGAAATGGAGTAAAATTTTTGGTAGAGTTGCAGAGTTTGGAAAGAAAATAAGATGCGGAGAAGAAAGAAGCACCATACTTGGTGTAGTCACTGCTATAGGAATATCGAGAGGTGTTCCAGCTAGTTCGTTGCTTCCTCCCCGGGAACACGAGCATGCTATCATTTGGAATGGAATCTCAAATATTAGTGTTCGTCCATACCATTCTCCCTGACTCCAGGAGGATGACATGGAGAGATTGATCAGGGAGATGCTAGAGGCAGGGATCATTTGACCTAGTGACCGTCTTTTTTTCAGTCTAGTGCTATTAACCCAGTACTTCAACAATAGTTTCCTTCGTTCTACCTTGAGAACAATGTGGCACTTTGGGAGAGGAGTATTGATGGAGCGACCGATTTGATTGGGAGGGATTTAGGAAGGTTCTTAATGAAAGGGGAATTATTTAGGAAAATTTTTAATTACAATTGGGAGGGAATTATTTAGGGTAAGAGACTTAATTTGAATTCAAAATCTTAGAGGGAATTATTTATAAAAAATGAGGAGGAATTTA